TATCCGATGGGCCTCCCTCAGTCAGAGCCCAGAAGAAATCTAGGAACCTGTCTCTTAAGCAAAGTCTTCTGAAAAGGCAGCAGCTAGAGCAGAAGGGAAAGGAAGTGGGCTGTGAATGCTACCCAGCCCAGCCAGCCTCAGACAAAGACTCAAAACCTGGCATGCACGCAGTCAGCGAGACATCCTCAGATCTCCTACAGCAGCCCTGCCTGTTGGCCCTATCTCTCCCCTTTTTACCTCTCCCCAGTATGCCTTGCTTTCAGGAACTCCTCGGGGCAGTGTGTTCTAGAGCCTCACTTCCCCCAGCACTGCAAAGGCCCTGAGTCCATGGCTGCAGCTATTCTCTGTACTTCTGGACTCCTGACTGACTGACTGACTGACTGACTGACTGATGGAAAAGATACTAGAGGGCAGCAGAACTCATAGATCAAGGGAGAAAGCAGACAGAGCTAGCTGTCTCCAGGAGACAACGTACAAGAAGATCAAGTCTTCCTCTCCTCACCAAACCTGTGCCTGGCATGCCATTGTGCAGGCTGTGTCTCCAGGATGGAGGACAGGAATACTACAATGTATGTGCCTCCCAGGATGCCAAAGGCTGCATCGTGAATAGAGGCCACGTCTGTGTCTCCCAGGAGGAGGTCTGTGTCTGTAACCCACCCGCCAGCCCCCTTTCAGCTTTGCAGACAGTGTGTACAGGGCTGAAGCTTATGTAGCTATTACTCTATCCTGCAGAGCCTCCTCCACATCCACCCCCACCACTCCTAAGCTCAGAGACCCCCCACAGTGAGGGCCCCATCTGCTGGAGGCTCGGTGACCTGTGTCAAATGAGCAGGCGCTCGGTCACACTCCAGAGCCTGGAGGAAGTTGCCTGGCTCTGGGAAAGCTGCGGAGCTCCTGCCCGGGGGCAGGTTGGGCCAGAGTCCCTGCTGGGAAGGAGGGGCCCAGGAGCCTGAGATCTGCAGAGGCCTGGCTGGGAGCTGCCTTCCACAGACAAGGAAGAGGAGTGGGAAAAAATAAGAAAAAAAGCGGCTTCCCCATGTCCTCAGGACTAGCCTTGCGGCTAGTTGCATGGGCCAAACTCTGGGCTGAACATGGCCCCTTCTGCTCTCTGATCCCTTGTGCAGATCTGTTGGTTTCTTCAGGGTGTGGATGTATGAATCTGTGTGCCTCCAGGATGTGTGGGGATGCAACCTCTTTGTATCTGTGCATCTAGGTGGACAGTGTGCATGGCCAGCTCTGTGCACTAATGTGGAAATACAAAGATGTGCCCATTTGTATGGCTGTGCCATTCCAGCCCATCATTTCATTTGTGACCCCACAGGCCTACAAGGGTTGTGCATCTTAATGTCAGTGAAGGAAGGCCTACTCGGGCCCTTTTCAACCTATTAGGGGGCTGTGTTTACCCTTTTTGGACACACGCCTGTAGTTGTCAGTAGGTGTTCCTTTATATAGCTGAATGTCAGCCTAATGATGCAAGCCTATGCGCTCCTATTATGAATCAATATGTTTGTCCCTGTGTGAGAGCATACCATTGTACGGTTTGTCCTATGTATGAACCCATGTGTGTGCAACCATCCATTTGTGTGTGTGTGTGTTTTGTGTGTATGTGTGTGTGCTGACAAGCCCTCACCATTCTGTGCCTGCACAAGTCACATAGGTATCCAACCTCCTCCATGTATGCACCCGAGGCTGAGTATGTGGGTCTCCCCAGGATCTGTGAAGGTGCTTCTCCTGTGGAGAGAGATGATTTGGCTGCAGATGTCTGCCAGTAGTCATGCCACAGTCCTCAGTGTCCCACAGGGCCTCCAGCAACAAGAGTGAGGAGGATGTTAAGATTTTCTTGAGGGAACTTAACTCCCAAGAAAATTATGACTAAAGAACTCATAACATTGTAAAGGGTCTAAAACTTCCAAAGTGGATAACCTTTTCCTGGCTCTCAGCACTACTCCCCCCAGGACAGTGTCTAACATGTAAAAGACACCTAAATTACATGCTTTATTACACCCCTGGAGCCTGAGAGCAATCCTGAGCCACGGGCATTACTGTGCCCATCTTAACATGGAGAAATGAAGGCTCTCCAAGAGGCAAAGTAACCCACAAACAGCACAGGCTGCTATGAGGGTAGTGGTTTTTCTGGGTAACAAGCTGATAATGACGAGTCTGCTTACTACTTTGGCTTGCTTTGGTTAGGTTTTGGCTCTGGTTACTGCGGATATTCAGCACACACCTATTAATACAGCTCCGAGTGTACCAGCCAGACCCAGCCAGCCCTCAAGAGCTGCCAGAGATAGACCCATCATGGCCTCTCTTTGCCCTGATGGCCAAAATGCACCCTCTGCCATGCCATACAGCAGGGAGAATGAGTAGGAGCACATGTATCCCGCACCCGGGCAAGTCTCATCTCCCTCATTTGCACACTGAGGACAATGATCTCAGCATGCTCTCATGGAGCTAAGAGGCACACGTAAAAGGATAGACTTCAGAAGCACTCTGGAAAGCACTATGCTAATCATTCTTCAAGCTTCAGTGGCAGCTCCAAAGCCTAGATAGCTACACTGGGCATTTTCTATTCTCCAATAGATAGATGTATATGAGGCTGGCAGAACTAGAAGGGCATGAGAGATCAGCCAGGACAAACCTCCATACCCCACTCTACAGGTGAGAAAACTGAGATTTAGTTAGAAATACACCTAACTTGCTCATCACTGGACCCAGTAATAGGAACAACCAGAGTAAAAGCCCTTTCTGAGAGATTTTTATTCCCATTGTTCCATGCCTCTATCTGTTTACCTTAATGAGACAGGTGGGCTGCTTGTGATACTGTTATTTCCAGTTTACAGGAAGGAAAACCAAGGGCCAGAGCTACTCTTGCCCAGGAAGACAGTGGCCACATTGGGCTGGAAACCTAAGGCTCAGTGTGGCACAGGCTTGGTTCAGACTATCATGGAAGGAGACTTCACTGCAGTATTTTCAGCCTTGGTCTGACCTCCCAAGTCTGAGACAGCTCCAAGGAGGCAAATGGACAAGAAGGATCTGGCTACCTCAAGGTGACCTCTTCTTAGGCCAGAGTCCAGGAAGGCCCAGAATCCCTGGCTGCACTGAGACACAGAGATGCATCAAAGCTTCTGCAGCTAAGGTGGGACCCAAGAGAGCCTTCCCAGGCCAGTGGCCAATGACCAGTGACCTTCCCTTGTCCCACTCTTTCCTTGGCTGTTAGCCAGAAGCAGAACTTGGGACATTCCAAATCTGGATGAATACAGTCTAGGTCCAGGATAATCAATGTCACTATGAACTCTGTCCCAGCCCCCTTTAGATCATGCTTACAACAGCTGCCACCCGACCCCCCATCACCTTTGTTCCCACGCTGAGGCTTCACTGTACAGAAGTGACTCACCTCACACCCACCTCAGCCCTGAGATCAGGAACCTGTAGGTTTTGGAATCTATGAATCCATTCGAGGAGAGAACAAGGACAGACCAGGAGGAACGAAGCTTCCTGGGACCTAAATCTCCATGAGAGGTAGAGTCCATGGGTATGGCCATTCAACATGGGGCTGGGTTTGGGGTGAGAGGGTACTGCTTTCAATAGAGCTCTACTCTAACTAGCACCCTTCAGGAAGTCCTCATGAGCTGCAGGATGAGGTGATGGCCGAATTCCACCGCCCATATTTCCAACAAGGACTCCTAGGTCTCAGTTTCCTTTTCAATAACCCCAAGCAAGCCCAGCTCCACGCCAAGCTGGACAGCTCCTAGCCTGCTTGCCTCAAGTGCCAGCTGCCCTTCCTTGAGTTCATCAGATCCTCTGCTATGGGAAGTTTCTCCCAAACTGAGCCCTTCCCATGACCAACGCCAATAACCCGTTGGCCCGTTCGAGCTGGAAGAAGGAGGGAGATGGCTACTGCAGCACAGTGTCGGTCACCCCAGATAGTGGTGCATTCCCCGGAGCCACAGTCCACCGCGAGGTCATCTCATTCCGGAATCCTGGAATTCTGCCGGGTTAAGGAGCCCGCGTCTCGGCATAGAAGCGCTGCCCGCCCGCTGTCCCGGTGTGAAACCGCCCGCGCGGTACTCACCTGGCCTCAGTGCCCAGGAGAAGGAAGAGATGCCCGCGTGAAGCGGGAAGCGCGAGAGGGTCCTCCTCTGCCCGCGCCCAACGCGCTTTCAGGACCAAAGAGGTCTGCGCAGTTGTGACGCGGGGTCTAGAAAGAGAAAAGGGAAAACCTAGATGGGCACGCAGAGTCGGTGCAAGCTGAAAGCCGCGGGAGGCGAGGCAAGAGAGGTGAGCAGCAGCACCGGTACAAGGCCTGGAACCCGCGCCGCCTTGCGCTCGCGGGCTCCGAAACCCGCGGGAATGCTGGCCCGGCGGCCGCGGCACTGCGGAGGGAAGGGTTGGGGGCTGAGCCGCTGCTTGGAGCCCAAGCGCCTCCCGAAGCCCGCAATCCCCGCCGCCTCGGTGCAATGCAGGAAAGAATTCAGCTAGCGTGGAAGGTGGGACCGGCCGGGCTCGGAGTCTCCACCGCAGGGAGAAAGCTGGGCCCACGCAGCCAGGACTAGAGGGGGTGCGGTCCCGGCGCCACCCCCGCGCCACTCCCCACGTGGCGGCCGCGCCCCCGGGGCGTGAATGTGTATGCGGACTGTAGGGGGGCCGTGAATGAAGCCCCATCGGCCAATCAGCAAGGCCGGCGCGCGGGACCCCGAGAGCGAGGCCCAATGGCGAGCTCCGGGCGGCCGGGCCGGGCAGCAGGCGGGCGCAGGGGGCGGGGGCCGGG